ATTAACAGCTCCTTCCAGGAGGAAGGATGCGGCGGTGACTCACTTTTACAAGTGCTTTATTTTCCCAAAATTTCCCTGCCCCTGACCGCGCCACGACTTGCACGGTCTGCTTCCTCCCCAACCGCCTCTGAGGACTCCTCCTCTTCCTCCTTCCCGGGGCGTCCCCGGCAGAGGTGGTGGCTGGGGTGGGCTCTGTGGGGCTGGGGTGGGCAGGGCTGTGCCCAGGGCAGTCCTGGAGATGTGGAGAAACCAGATCTTGCTCGCTCCACAGCAGTTTGTCCATCCCTCCTCAGGCTGCCCAGACAGGCTGTTCCACCTCACTGCCCCTGTGTCACCCATCCATCCATCCATCCATCCATCCATCCATCCATCCATCCATCCATCATCCATCCATCATCCATCCATCCATCATCCATCATCCATCCATCATCCATCCATCATCCATCCATCATCCATCCATCCATCCATCATCCATCCATCATCCATCCATCATCCATCCATCCATCATCCATCCATCATCCATCATCCATCCATCCATCATCCATCCATCCATCCATCATCCATCCATCCATCCATCCATCATCCATCCATCCATCCATCATCCATCCATCCATCATCCATCAATCATCCATCATCCATCCATCCATCATCCATCCATCCATCATCCATCCATCCATCCATCATCCATCATCCATCATCCATCCATCATCCATCCATCCTCCACATCTCCTTCTTCCTGTTCCACTCTCATCCATCCATCCATGCCCTTCCCTGAGGGTGATCAGGGTCCCAACCCTCAGCTCTCCCCTGCCCTCAGGACACTGCAGTGGTGCCACTCGGGGATGGCAGCAGGTGGCCACGACTGTGCAATACCCAACAGGGACAAAAATAGCGCCGGTGACCGCATGGGCCAGCGGCAATTTCTTCATCAGCAGGAGCGCGTCACCAGCATCCCATGACTCGGAGAAGGGACCGAGACAGGAAGGAGAGTGCCCGGAGAGCCGCAGGAAGCTGCTGGCTGCAAGAGTGTGGGGCTGACGTGGGCAAGCTGTGCCAGCGGCGGGGCACTGACCTTCTCGGAATGTGGGAGAGCAGGGGATGGATTTTGGGGACAGGATGGGAGCAGAGGTTCCCAGCATGCTCCTGCTGGGTCTGGCTGAGGACCAGGACCCCCTGGGGGCCCCCACTGGCTGCAGCATCCCCAGGAAGGCACAGCCCCCACCCCGTGTATCCCACTTTGCCATGCTGCCAGCAAGGGAAGAGGATGTGGGGACACAGTGGCAGTGTGACAGGGACATCCCCAAGCCTGGGGTCAAGCTCCTGCCTCAGTTCCTCCCCAGTCTGGCCCAGTGTGGGTCAGGGGGAGGACATAAATGTGGGCTTGGGTTTCCCCAGGGCCGTGATTTACTGTGGGCTAAAGCTTTAACCTGTTTTTTCACCCAAAATACCGAGCAGAGAAAGTGACCGTGTCCCAGTCACTTCACAGTGGGACTCTGTCTCCCTGTCCCATGCCAGCCCCTGCCACCAACACAGGGACCAGCTCTGGGCAACCTCCCTGGGCTGCACAGGAATGAAAATAATAAGAATTTTATTGACTTATCAAAAACTGTGAAAATACAACTTGTGAGGGGCTGGGTGTCACCGTCACCCCTCCATGACAGGTAACAGCCAGTGCTGGTGCTGAACCAGAGCCCCACTGCCCCCTTGGAGATTTTTGGGGTGCCAGGGGTAACCCCAGCTCCAGGAATGCTCTCCCCTCCATGGGGCTGGTCCAGGGGTGACCCTGAGCCTCGTGGCCACCCCTCCCTTCTGAAGGGGACACATCCCATCAGCCCCAGGCTGTCCCCTATAGCACCATGGTGGCACATCACTGCTCTTTGTCCCTCCACCCTGTGTCCCCTCCACCTGGACACACCCACCCTGCCACTCACCCTGCACAGGCCAGGCGAGAGGGACAGGATGGCACACAGGGACTGACCCCACTTCTGTGGGCCAGTGCCCACTGCCACAAGGCCACCATGTCCCCAAAGCCACCCCATCCCCAGCACAGAGGGAGCGATGCTGTGCTCTGTCCTGTGCTGGGGGATCATTCAAATGAAAACTGAATGAACAGGGGTGGGGAGGAGGAGACACCACGCTGGGACAGTCAGCGTGGGGACAGCCAGCCGCTATCTGCCACTCTCCTGCCGCTGCTGCAGCAGCTGGATGACCTCAGCAATGCCCTCCTCGGGGACCTGCGGGGGACAGAGGGGGTGTCAGCCTCAGGGGACACCCCGGGGCTGGCAGGGGTCCCTGGGGAGGGGCAGGGGCTCACCAAGGCATGATCAAAGTTGAAGGTGCTGATGTAATAGGCCGAGATGTCAGCGGCCGCCAGCGGCTCCGCGATCTGCGCCACGATGCCACACTCGTCTGGGGGCACAGGGGGTCTCAGGTCACTGCCATGGGGACATCCAGGGACAGCAGTGCCCTAGAGCACCCCCTGGGTGGCAGTGGCACAAGAGGGGACACGGCCACCACGGCCACACTCACCGAAGCCAAGGGGCTGTCCCCCAATCCGCACCATCCGCCACAGCTCCCCCGTCGAGCTGGTCAGCAGGAGGTCACTGGGGAAGCTGAGGGGGATGAAACCAAGTGTCACCCCCTCCCTGAGCCCCCAGACCCAGGGACGGAGGGACAGACAGCCCCGGGATGGCACCTACCGCTTCTGGGTCTCGGCATCCATCACGATGGAGATGTAGCCCTCGATGAGGGAGAAGGAGAAGAAGGTGATGGAGTCGAGGTCCTGGCTGCTGGTGGCTGCATCCCATGGGGGGCTGCTGAGGGGGAGGGGACACAGGCAGGGGTCACAACCCTCAAAATGGGGAGGAGAAGGGCTTGGTGGTGGCATTGGGTGTCTGAGCATCATGCTGGGGTGCTGCAGGGTGGGAGGAGAGGGGACAGGAGCAGGTGGTCCCCACAGGGTCTGCAGCTCACAGGTGACACCAGGTTTTGGGGCATTCTCAAAAGGCCACGGTCACTCTGAGCAGGAGCATGTCACCAGAAGGGACCCCATCCCAGGGGACACGGGAGGACCCAACCAGGAGCGTTCCCTTCCCCCAGCACCATCCCCACTGCCTTTTCCAAACCCATCCCCTCCTGCTTTACAGTCTCCCCCCTGGGACTCGGTACAATGCTGGCTTTGTCCCTTGTGTCACCTCGGGGTTCCCACCCCTCACAGTGCAGCTCCCGGGAAAGCAAAACCGGTTTGGAAAACCCATCCGGAGCCTGAAAACCCACTGGGACCAACGGCTGGGACCAATGGCTGGGACCAATGTCACCGCAGGTCAGGTGGCACCAGGCAATGGGCCACCCCCATGGACTCACCTGTGGGAGTAGAAGAGGACATCGATGAGCATGGTGGCGATGGCGGGCAGCGTGTCGGGGGCCACCGTCAGGACACAGAAGCGGGTCTGGGGGCTCTGCACCGGGTGCAGCGTGGGGCTGGCGGCTGCCAGGGGAACGGCC